AAAAGCTTGAACTCGAGTTTTTTGATCTCGGACTTTTTGACGAGTCGAACTCGATCTTTTTTTAGTTGTTCGTGAACTCACGAGCCTTCCTTTTATTTATATTTAAAGGATAGATAATAATTTAAAATGTTATAATGATAATATAAAAAGAACATATAAATAGTAAATATATATATAATTACAGTTCATTATTTATTTTTTAATTTTTTGGTTATAATATAACTAATTTTTAATAATTAAAAAAATCCAAAATGAACTTGAGCTCAAGCCAAAAAAAACTCGATGAGCTCGAACTCGATCATGTCAGAACAAATAGCTTGGTTGGTTCACACCCCAGCTTAACCTATTTTCAATATTGATTTACCGTGTCTAAATTGTTGTAACTAATCTAGGATGATCTTTATTTCCTTTTATCATTTGATTAATTTGTTTCCACCTTAGTAATTTCAAACCAAATAATTTTCAAAAATTTGATTAATAAGTTTAATAATCACTTGTATTTCTTTATTAGGTCTTTTAATTTGGACCATATATCTTCATATACAATCCCATAAACTTTATGGTACTATATAATATATTAGTAATTAATTTTTGATTTTTAGTTTGTAAAGTTTGTGGGTAGTTATTTTCTGAAAAAAATAAATAAATCGCAAAAAAACAAAATAGTCACATACTGAAAACTGTGACAGCTTGTGAAGTCAAATAGTCAAAAGTGGGGAGTGACAAATAACAAGAAATGAAGCTGCATCGAAATAGAATATAAGTTTATTATGAGATTATTGTGTGTGGTCTGGACATTGTTGGTCAACTATGAGGGGCAGATATTATTTATTTTCTTGATTTTTATTTATTTATTAATAATCATATATGAGGTCAGACTAAATTACAAAATTATTTATTTTCGTAAATTTAGACTATTACGCCTATCTCATGAGATCAGACTAAATTACAAAAAAACCCTCTATTTTTTGGGTAACAACAATAATCCATTAACTATTTATCATCTTATACATAAATCGTTACGGTATTCAATTTACTTACTGAATGAGGGGTTCTTTCGTAAGACATTATATAGTTGAATATGTGGTTGTAATTACTCGAAAATAAGGGAGTTTCTTCCGTAATGGCTACCTTTATACCAGCGTTTGCCATAATTTACTCTAGTTTTTAACATCGTTGCGGTCGTTTGTGGTTGTAGTTCGATCTCGATTATCGAATTGTATGTGTACAAACAATCATACAAGCATTAGAGAAAATCCTTTAGATAGGACTTGTTGTCATCTTTACCACACACTCATAATTTAAAGTAGACTTTTCAATGATAATTGAACCAACTCATTGTCATCAATTTGAATATATTCATCTATTATCAATATTAAAAAAAAAATAAAAAAAAATTGAGGGAGGGAGGAAATTTCTTGCTTTAAAAAGGACACCCCGTTTTTCGTAAGACAAATTTTCAACTAGTCATTATCTTTGACTCGTATATATACGTCATATGAGTCCAGTTTTTGGTGAAGTTTGTTGAATTAAAATCACATAGCGTTGAGATAAAATACATTGCATTCCCCTACTTAACAAAATAAAATAAAATAAAATAAACCATGATTAATTTTTCCAAATATAAATAAAAGAATGTGTAGCATGTACACGAAAACTACGATACGGAAAAACGGACACGGGGGAAACGACATGTCACGAAAATAGGGATGGATACATGAATTTAG